AATTATAGTGATAAAAAAATAAATAAATAATAACAAGTGGACCAAAACTTCAACCTCTCCAAAACTGTATATCCAAATTGCCAAGCCATAAAGCCATATTTCAACCAACCAATCAGAAATCTTTTACAAACAAGATATTAGAAAAACAAAATAATAATAACAAGGAAACCAAAATTTCATCATCTCCAACAAATAGATAATCATACTTTGTCCAACCCATCAAAAGCTATCTTGACCAGGATACAAACATATCTGGTCGAGCAAGTGAATTATAAACAAAAACTGTCATCCAGGATATAATTGTGAACCAATGAGAATCAAAGTGGCAATTTTAAAGTAGATCTCTAAATACATAACAGAAACACTAGACCAGATGTGGCAGCAATATTTTATGCATAGATGAATGGTAGACATTTATAAATATGTAAAATAGCTTCAGGTGAGAATAATTGTCTAACACGACATAGTGAATCAACTTTAATCATTATACAAGGCTTATTTATACCAAAACCAAATATAGCAAATATATGGTGGGAATGGACGTTGCCATAAGATAACTTTCTACAAATGCTCCAGAAAATCTATTCCTTCTGAAAATGTTCAATTCAGTTTCTTTGAAAGTTCTCAACCTCATCCATTAGAACCTGTTTCTCATCTTTGTTACAAACTATTCTTTCATATTTATTGTCTACTCTGGGGATGTCTACCCAATTGTAATTTGTTTGAAAAGTGGCAATTGACATACAATTGGTTGACAGATAATGAACATACACAGTGTATTTATTCATGACCAAAATTAGCATTTATTCTATAACAAGTGTACCCTTGCCATCAAAAATGATGACAATTGTTAGAAAATTTTAATCGTGAGATGAAATGAAAAAATGTATTGAGATTCAATAAAGCAGAGGTAAAGAATTCACAACTAAAATCGAGGCCAGTGAATTGTTTAATTAATCCATTCCTTTTATATATATTTTAGACATACAATGATATCTATGATTCATTAATTTCTCCTGGCATTATATAAATCGCTTTTTGCTCAATATCTTTTCTTGTTAAAAATTTCATGTGTTTAACATAACAGTGAAATGGAAATATCTCTTGGAAGTAAAAGATTAGCAACAGAATGACAAAGATGGCAGTGAAAAAGCCTATTTCAAGACCAAGTTGAAGTAAGGCAAGCACTAAATAGACCTGAGTGACTCACATGAAAGGCTTGAATGAATAGGATTGCAATCTATGAAATGTAGTAGTAAAGGAACTGATTAATAAGATTGCACATTTTGATTGTGAACTAATTTGGTTTAAATGCAGATAAATACTTTATTTGTATAGATTATTAAAATGACTAAGGGAAGTAATCACTCAAAAAATTACTAACTTGAGTGGATTTACCTTCCTTCCCACTATAAATGGGACAAGAAATATATAAATAAATATACATTGATAATTATTATATGGTTTCATAATATTCCATATATTAGTTTATCAGCTGTAAGAGCTTATACAATCTTAAGGTAAAATATGTTCATACTTTTAGTATAGATGCAGTTCATACTGTTTCTTTTAAAAAGATCACTACATACAATTTATTTTTTTAAATAAAAGTGTATGAAAATTATTAAATAATTTAATATAAGTAATAGCATAGATGCTCCTAGTTTAACAACAATAACAACAGTAAAAAAACAAAAAGAAAAGAAATTGATAGCTCATTTTTTTTGTTTTGTTTAACCAAAGTCAGAGAGTACAAAATGTTTGCCAAAAGTGGAAGTTACTAAGTTAATTAGTAGTCATTAGTCTGTCTTGTGATTTTTGTATGTATTCCCAGATTAGAGAGAAAATGAACATGGGTGGATTTAAAAATAAAAACAGAAAATAACATTTTATAGAAATAAATTAGAATCTGTTCAATACATAGCATTTTCCTGTCTTGTTTGGTGTATATGATACTAAACATCTCATAAGTATGAAGATAATTTTTCTAAAATTTCACATTTAAAACCAAACATTTTGTGATGATCATTAACAGTCTAATATTTCAAATTGGATCTAACATTGTAATCTTCCTTTTATGAAACAGATTCTATTTGTGTGTCTAGTATTTTAGCAGCATCAGAATCATAGGTGTCCATTTAGCCTTGAGTTTAGGGCTGTCACCAAGGAAGATAAAAAGTATGGTCATGCAAGTATAGTTGGCGAAGAAGAATAATCAATTTCTATTGCCTTTTTAAGAGGCTTTTCTGAAATTCAGTGAATGTTCTCTCAGGTTCATCAGCTCAGTACACTTGATGCAATTTTATATACAGGTCAGTACGATGAATTTGTGATTTGATAGCTGAAAATTTGATGTGAATGTAGCAGTTTGAGAAAAGGAGGCTGTAACTTGTAATGATAGCAAGAAATAAATTACTAAATAACCCCCAAACCTTATTACTAGACTATGTAGTAGTCTGGATTCAAAATAATTAATATTAAAAGAAAAATTAAAAGTTAAGCAACAACAATACTTCAAAACATAGATAAGAATGGTAATTGACAATAAAGAAAAAGTTAGATGATAAAAAATAGTTAAATAAATATAGAATACTCTCATTATGCTCTAGAACAAATGTTTTACTATTAATTGAAAAGAAAAAAATCAAAACTTTCTCTTTCTTCATTTTTCAACTACTGGAAGAGGAAACCTCCTGGACAGTTTTGATAAAACATGTTGCCACCTACAGATGTGCAAAACCTCTTTGTTTCTGTATACATATATGTTTCTTAAAATATACAATCATTTTTTATCTATTTAGCTTACAAGTCTACCATTCATGCATGCTTTGAATATTGCTGCCACATATTGGTCTGGAGCTTCTGCTACATATTTAGAGATTTTTGATATAATCCAAAGAATAATCTGCAATGTTGTTGGTCTCGACTTGGCCTCTCAGCTTCAGTCAGTTTCCCACTGCTGTAATGTAGCTTAACTGTGCCTTTTCTATAAATACTTTCATGGTAATTGTTCTGATGAACTTTATTCTATGGTACCTTTCATCTATGGTACTTTGCAATTCCTTTGTGGTTTCTTTTAGGACACCTTGTGTGTATTTATAACATTTAAGAAACAGCTGATATTTTTATATATAGTACTCAATATTAAAAATATTAAAATAATATTAAAAATAGAGCATCAATATTACATAAAAAAGATTACTTAACTTTTAATTATCAATTTTACTCCAACTTCTAAGTTTCCTGGTAGCATTTCCATTCTTCAGTGGGGTTTGGTTTCAAATGATATTTCCATTGGAAATCTTACCAGAAAACTTTGAAGTTAGGGTAAAATTGATATTTAAATGTTAAGTAATCTATATATATATATATATATATATATATATATATATATATATATATATATATATGTGTGTAAAATATATAGAAAATAGGAAAGAACTCGTTAGGTAAATAATCCAAAGTTCTTTAGTATTTTTTATTATTATTTTTAAAAAATAGTGCTCAATAAAAAAGTAGAGCAGAAATATAATTATTTATTTAAAAATATGATTACATCACTACATAAGAGTTCTCATGTTTCAAAACAAGAGCCGAAAACTTCAATATAATTATTATAATATATATATATATATATATATATATATATATATATATACACTGTCAAAAACGTGTGAATTTCTTTTCATTTTAGCTTTTGGAAGTAAAGTCTGATGATCCAGACCCTGTTAAAGGGGTTATGGTGAAATAGATTATTACATGGAATATTAACGTGGTCTGTCTTTTATTCAAAATATATATATATATATATATGATCACAAATATATATTTAATCACAAATAAAAAAGTAAGAAAATGCGTAATTAAATTCCAAAATTTTAATTTTAAGAATATTGTATCTAGTATGCTAATAAATATAATAAATATAGTATTTTAGATCTTTATAAATAAAAATATAAATATAGAAAATATGACTTACTCATATTTGAAGGCCCTTTAAGAAAGTCCCAATGTATTTTATAAAAATAAAAAAATAAATAAAAATGCCATTGTATTGTAGTGTATCTTATATATGCCTCTAAATAAAAAAAAAAACAGACAGGATGACATGTTCTCATATAAGGAAGCCAATATCAGTAGGCAAAAATTACAAACCCACATCTAACACTTAACCTATATTTACACTTTGCCATCTTAAATTATACTTGTATCCTGATTTGGCAAAAAAGCCAACACCCTTTTAAAATTTTGTAATTCCCTTTTCTTTCTAACTATATAATACTATTTAGCTTAAAAAATGTAAATCATTTTTTCCGAAAGTTATTCAACATCACTTGAGAATGGAACAAAACCTTTAAATTTAAGTTTAATTTAAAGTTTAGTTTTTAGTTCCGAAACATGGTAATTTGTGTGTCATGATGAATACATTTTTTAAATAATATTATAATATATATATATCAAATTTGCTATATTTATATGAGGAATAATGCTCACTGTCAAAGATAGTGTTTATAGATATAAACAGTGTGGACATAGGAATCAACACTGCATGGTTACTGTCAGTTCCATACTGCAATGTGATTTTCAGACCAAGACTTGAAGATCACACTGAAGTGTAAAACGAAACTGATAGTCACCATGCAGTGTTGATTCCTATGACCATGCACTCTCTCATAATATATATATATATATATAGAGAGAGAGAGAGAGAGAGGAGGAGGAGGATCACGTATGCTTCATACAGAAAGTAAATATAGTAGGCCAATCAAAATAATAATGGAATAATAATAAATGAAAGAAATATATTATTTTTATTTATTATATGTTATATTATTATATATTACCAGGTCAGTAGACAAAATAGAAGCATGATGAGAAAAATATTTAAAATTAGAATTTTCAGTCTGAAGAATGACAGGTGTGTCTGAAACTTTTGATTTTAAGCATTTTTTTCATTCTGCTTCTAATTTGTCGATTGACCTAATAATAATTTATAGGCTGATGGCTATATCATGTTGAAACACCAGTTCTTATCTGATCACTGAAATTAAGTAATGTTGAGTTTTGTTAATACTGAGAAGAGTGAGCACTTGGGAAGACCAGGTGCTGTAAGCTTGGATGTGCAGGTGGTGTAATGAATAATGGCTCAGAATTAGAAATAAGAGAGCAAAGTTTGAATTCCATTCAGATTCATTATGTTCACTTACATGCAAATCCCCTTTGGAAAGTTATGTATTTATCTCTTCTCCCAGAGGGTAAAAATATCCAAAGCATTTTTCTCGATTACAAATAACACAACATGAATCAAATTAACCCCAGCGGAGCAAAAACACTCTTTTAAAAACAAACCGTATTACCCAAGTTTGTTATGAAAATGGGTAATTTCCCAGACATATGTAAACAAATGGATTACTATTCAATATTCTTCCTTTACTTAAAAAAAGGTAAATACCCCAAAAGTTCTAAATATAGAAAATGGAAAAGTAAGAGAAACCATATTTCACTTTGAAAGGGGTCTTCCTGTATTTCTGTTGTAAATGAAAGGCTTCTTTAGCCTTGATGTTTTGTAGCTGTATGCAGCTGTGAATTTTTTTACCTCTGGAATCACTGGTAATAATTTAGGTTTGAATTGAGAATGTTCAGTTTTCCTGCAGGTCTAGGAAATTAGGCCAACAATGTGTCCTGAAGGAAGAAATTTTTGACTCCTCCTAGTAAGTTTTTCAATTTCTTAAGTAGATATTATAGGATCCTTATTAAACCAACCAACCACTTTTTCAGATACCTCTGGCTGGTAGTGATTTCATACTTAGCCAGTATATTCCCAGAAGGGCTGTGTGTTAATTGGCTGAAAGAGTTGCAATGTCAGTAACCCTCAGGCTGTCAGGAGGAGTCACCTAGATATACTGCTGAAAACAATAAAGGTGCCAAGTGACTGCTAGCTGATTGACTGAAAAAATTTTGATATAAGCAAAATTTCTTCAATAGAAGTTATGAGTCACATTTTCAAAACCTGGAAATTCTGCCAAGGTAATACAAATTGAAATCAATAAAAATATTTTTATAAACAAGAGGTACATGTGTGTCTCTTCATAGCATGGTATATTCTTTGAGTAAAAGCTTTCATCCTCACTAAACTATATTGCAGCATGCATCACTGTGTAAAGCTTGAACACAGATGGCACACTTGTATGAGTGTTACTATATCACAAGATGGTTGAAAAAGTTAAAAATTTTATTAGGATATATACTAAACCTAGGATGCACATACTGTACCCAGGTCAAAATCAGCATCATTTTTCAGGATGTTACACTTTGATTTTATATCATTCATTTTTTCTACTACTTCTCCATATACTATGGCTCAAACTATAGAATTTTTAATGTTCAATTTGATTTTCTAGACATTTTTTGTCTAATATTTTTGTTGTAAGGCTAGTTATATGCTAAATCAAATTTGTGATTATTGTTTTTGGTTTAAGATAGTTCAAGCTTTCAAGTGTGTGCATATATAGAGAGATTTTCTTTTATGCTTGGAAGTGTGATCTGAGGAACAAGGAAAAAAATCCCATTCCTGGGAAAATAAAATATAATCTATGAACTCTTAAGACTGTCTGTTTTTTAATTTAACTAATATTTGCTCTGTTTTTACACTGAGCTCTCTGGATTACATCTTCCTTGGGATTATCCATACGGATTACCAAACATTTCTTTACCTACCTCTCTCTCTCTATATATATATATATATATATATATAAGAAAAGGCTAAAATGCCAACTAACCACACAACCTGGGTTTCTTCCAATTTTGAATTGAACACTTTTAGGCACGGTTGTTTTTAGTCTTAATCTTTCTTTTACATTTCTTTCTGTATATATATTTTGTGGACAGTTTTAATATTCTATATTATTAGGATCTACTTGAATTACTTACGCACGGACTTTTACTTATATATAAGCATTAATTTTAAAAAAAAAATTATTATTTAAGTAAGAAATAAATAAAAAAACAGAATACACCTATATTTTCAAAAACTTCAGAAAACCCCAGAATATACAAGAAAAAATAGCCTGCATATGAGTCCTGTTTCTGACACTGGAAATAATGTTGTTACATTATCTTTTGACACTCAAAACTGAAAGATAAAGAAAAGAAAGTAAAGGAATAATAAGAGAGTATGAGGAGACAAGAAAATTATGAAAAGAAGAAATAACCACAACATCCTACACATGTGCATATGCACACATGTACAGGTGAAGAAGGAAAAAAAATCATTGTAACACCACTAAAAAAGTGCATAAATTTTCTTTTTTAACTTAGTATAAATATAACAAAAATGAGAAAATCAACAAACAATTGCTGATACCTCCTGATGAGTGAACTGAATAATTGCCCAAAGGTTTGTCTACAAAACCCTAGAGTAGAGGTGTTGAATATATCTATCAGCTATGTGACATATTTATATTAATCCTATATAATCCTATTATATATATATATATATATATATATATATATATATATATAATTATGAAGAAAATGAAGACTTTACAAGTCTTCATTTTCTTAATAATTATTATTTGCTCTATTTTTACATTGATCTCTCTGGATCTATATCCTCTTTGGAATTATCTATACGTATCATCAAATAATATCATTATATATATATATATATATATGGGTTTGCCATATATCGTATTTTGGCTGGGATAGTACTAGTGATATCAGTATTAATTTTTTTTTGTTTCAACCTTGACACTGAAGGGGTTGTGGATCATGAAAACACAAAAAGACTAACCCTAAAATAAAAACTGAAAACTCTGACTTAAGGCTCAGAAATTATGGTAAGTTTATACATAGCGGAAATTATGGTTATATTTTAGAGATATAGATTTCACGGTTATCTAATCAATTCATCCAGCTAAAGTTAATTACACTTCATTGTATGTTTAGCTTTAAAAAGCTTTCATGGAGGAGGAGATAATTTCAATAAAATTGTAAGTGTAAGAAGATCTAATTACTATTATTTTGTTCTTCTTGCTAAATAAAAATCTTATTGCTAAGTCAATGAAATTTTTTAAATATTTAAGGTTAAAATATATTAAATTTTCTTCTATTTTTCTTCTTTTTTTTTTTTTTTTTTACAATTACCAAAATCTTTGTTCTGTTTTAAAATACTATTTTTTTCCCCCTCATTTTGAGAAAATATCAAACAAGTCAGGCATCTAAGATAGAATCCAGGTCTTCCGCAATTTTATCTTTACTTTCTTAAAATCTTTAAATTACAAACTTTTCCTTTCCAAAAATAAGGAAAAATAAAATAAAGAGGGGGGTAAAAAAGAAAAAAAAAAAAGAGTTTCAGTTAAGAGGAACAAGTTGCAAGTTATCGGCCTTGACTAAGTTGAACTCTTCAACCAGTTGTGATTATTATACACAAGTGATGAATGTTTTGGATAGTAAAGTTATACTTGATGGCTGACTCGAAAGATGATGATGATGCTAACATTATTAACAACAATGATACCATCACTTCTCTATTACAATTAACTGCTTAAATAAATACACTCACAAAAAATATACATACATAGACGGTATTTATTTACTAAAGAACTCTAGCAACAACAACAAACAAAAAATACGGGATTATTATTATTTTACTTTTAAATTGTTTTTTTTTTTATTAGTAATCCCTTTCTTCCATTTTCATTTTTGATCATCAACATGTCCACCAACTGGTTTTCAGATTTTCTTTCTGAGAAAACAAAGCTAAAAGCTTGTCGATATCTTCTTCATCATTACCTTGGGGATTTATTAAAGGACAATGTTTCCCTGGAACAACTCAGTGTCGACATCTTCAATGGCAGAGGAACGATAGAGAACCTTAGTCTAGACGACGAGGTATGAAAAATAAGTTTAAAAATATTATTATTATTATTACTTATACTACACGATCTTTCTTTTCAAAATGTTTTTCTTTTTCATATCTTCCTTTTTACTTTTCATAATTATCTTTTCATACGTTCGTCTTTCTTTTCTTGTGTAAAAAATGTTTGATAGAGCAACACTGGTTGGAATGGAAAGGCATTTTTAATTTCTCCCTTTGTTTACATTTTAAAAAAGTAGAAATTATTTACATTTTTTAAATAAATAATTTGATTAAATTGATTCATTGTGAAAAGGAAGTATTTTTAAACATATGTACAAAAAATCTCTCGACCTGTTTACATGAAAAAAGAGAAATCGATAATAAAATGAACCAACTTTAGTTAAAGAAATTTAAATAAAAAAATTACAATTATTGACATTATTAATAAACTTTTGATTATGATAATTATATTTATCAAAGAATAATGTTACTGACTGAATTCGAAAATAAATAATTGAAGTGATATTTCGATGTCTTGTTTATAAACAGTCATCGTTAAGATTTGATGTATTTTTTTTGTATACTTCATTTTTACACTTTGGGACAAAATAAACAAATGGAACAAACCTGTGTATTTATCGCTATAATAATTAAAATTAAAAACAAACATTTAATATCTTGTTTGCTTGTGATTAATTAACAACCATATTCTTTCATTGGCCGCAAACCTACTCATAATTATTAACTCTTTAAATTTATTTTGCTTTTTATTTGCCCGGGTTACTTTTATTTTGGTTCAGCACGAAAAAGGAATGGTTCCTCTCCTCTGTGTATTTGTGTTAAGACAAAAAAAATATTACTTATTTTCAAGACGAAAAGTTAAAAAAAAAAACAATCCTTTAAAAAAAAAGTTTTCAGCTCTTGAAACTAATTTTAGGGACTTTTAGCGAACTGTTCCTTGATTGTGAATGTTTTATTTTTTCCCTTTAACTCTAAAAATAATTCCTTCTTTGTATTAATTAATTTGCATCTAGAAAATAAATGTTTTTCTACTTTTTAGTGTCGAATTTTTTTTTTCTTTCACTATTCGACTGTCTATGAAGTAGTAATAATTAGTAAACTAGTTAAAATGTTTTCTTAATCTTTAAAAGTAAAACAAAGTTAGTCCGATGAAACGCATTTAAAGATTAAATTTAAATCATAAGTTCATTATTTATTTTCAGTTAATTTTCTATTCATTATTTGTTTCTTCC